ACAGCAGTGGCGTTTGCAGGGTTACTGAAGTTGGATTACCTGGTATATACTGTTGTGCTACGTGATTGCTAGCAACACAGCTATGTTAGCATAACATTAGCACAGTGAAGCTGGAGGATGAACACCAACTTTTTTTCCACTCGATAAAAGTTAACGTGAGGGATTCTGGTGGTTAGAGACAAATGCAATCGCATAGCAGGATGCTATACACGGAGCAAACTTCAGCCTGGAGAACAACTGAGATTATTCATCCACAATACCAGGTTAGTTATTAATATACTGCAACAACATGGGAATAGAGCAGCTGCCAGAGAATTCAACATTAATGAATCAATGTTACGGAAGTGGAGGAAGCACAGTGTTTGGCTTTCCCCATATTTCAAAAGTGCTTCACCTCTGCTATGACTGTCGCCCGGCATAATTTGCAGATGATAATGGTTGTAGCAGCTGCAATGCTTTCGACCAGAACAGGCGCAGCTTGATGACGTCATCAACATGCGCTATCGCGATAGAGCGGTATGGTCAAAATCTCTATCGTTGGCCAAATTTATATCGTTTCTATCGTATATCGTTTATATTGCCCACCCCTACTCAGTTGGTACTGGTAGGCACAAACCCCACCAGCAGCCTGAACCATTGACGCAAGGCAGGATGGCGTTTATGCCAAATTCTGACCCCACCATGAGTCTTGGACTCGTCAGACTAGGCAAGATTTTCTGTTGTACAATTTTAATAAGCCCATGTGAATTTTAGCCTCAGTTTCCTGTTCTGAGTTGCACCCAGTGTGGTCTTCTGCTGCTGTAGCCCATCTGCTTCAGCATTTATTGTGCATGCGGAGACGCTCTTCTGCATAACCTTTGATTCTAAGGAGTGGTTGTTTGAGTCACTGTTGCCTTCCTGTCAGTTTTAAGCAGTCTGGTCATTCTCCTCTTACATCAGCGAGGCATTTCCACACAGAGAACTTCCACTTACAGGATATTTTGTCTTTTTCACACTCTGTAAACCCAAGAGATGGCTGCGTGGGAAAATCCCAGTAGATAAGGAGTTTCTGGAAAACTCAGACCTGTACATCTGATACCTTGTTCAAAGTCACTTAAATCACCTTTCTTCGCCCATTCTGATGCCCAGTTTGAAATTCAGCAAGGGGTCTTGCCCGTGCCTAAATGCCTAAATGCATGAGTTGCTTCCATGTGACTCGCTGATTAGACATTGAGATTAAAGAGCAGTTGAGCAGATATACCTAATAAAGTGGCTGGATATGCGTTTGTTTAAATTACAAACAACATTTAAAAACATACTGGTGCATTTTTTTAAATATACTAACTGAGATATTACAGGCCAAATACATTATCGAGCAGTATAAATATTGATGTAGTTGTTCATAGATATACGGCATAGTGCTTATTCAAAAAGTTCTGCACACCTGAAGGGGGGAAAAAAGGCAAACCATATCTGATTTGTCATTAGTCTCTGCTCCACTTCTAGTTCTTTTGCTATTTTTAGATTTTTAGCTTCCTGGAAGTGCTGCTGCCCAGTTTTGTGGAAATCAAGTTCAATTTTTACTTTCAGAAAGAGGACAAAAGCAAAAAGCAAATCTGGCGAGCAGGGCAGATGGTGAGCAGAGATTGCATTGTTTTGGGCAACAAAACTGTGCCACCACTGAGATCATTTGCAGCAGATTCAATTCACTTTTATTCATATAGTGCCAGATGACAACAGCAGTCACCTCAAGTAGATGCTGTTCCTCAGACATCTATGGACGTTACAGCAGAACTGCAGCCTTGAATTCCTGACACTGAGGGACAAATTAACAAAGGTTAACAAAAGGACCTGAACTGACGTCTACCTTGAGGGCTTGGAGTTAGTGGGTCATAGGTTGAAGTCCAGCTCTCATTAGCTGCTGATCTTCAATGTGGGCAGACAATTTGACATTTTTTATACTAGAAAGGATTTGATTTAGACAAAGATTTTGCACAACACAACCCTTGACTTGTTTTGCCTCTCATTTTATCAGAAAGTGTTTGTTTGGTTTCAAATAGTGTCATCCTGCTGTTTGAAGTAGAAATTAGATTTGCTGCCTTTTGCAGGCTCTGAAACCTTCGTGTGCAATAGTGGAAGAAGATTTACTGTAAACTGTCACACTTCAGGGGTTTCAGTTCCGTTCAAAGGTCCCGTTACTATAGCGCGTCTGTTTTAATTACGCACTACAGTCCTGTGGTCAAATGAGAGCCAGAGGTTGCTTTCACACCTGGGCCACCCCGTGCTAAAAAACGAAGTGAGATTAACATGTACATAATATTCAAGTGCAATCCGATTTCACTTCTTTCACCTTCAACATTCACACCACGACTTTGGCAGCGTTCTGGTCAAGTCGGGAAGGATTGCTCGGAGGAAGCGAAACAAAAATTTTCTAGGTACGGGGCAGTTCCCCTCCTGATGATTAGCAGATTTTATTAATGCCATTTACTTTGTTGTTGAAACATGTCTTCGAATCCTCCTGATGGACTACTGTGGAGGAGATAAATTAGATTGTGTGGGTTAGGTGGAAGGACAGAAAATCTATTTCCGCAGTACAAATTGAGGTTTGTTGTTTGTTTTTCATGTTTAAAACGTCCACTCTGTGGTTAGGTTTTAAAAGTAGCCTAAAGCGATCATGTATGACGTTTTAAATGTCTATTAAATGTGGAACCATGGGGTAAGTTTGCATCGATATATATGCATCAGTATAAAAAGCTCATTTAAATCTTGTATATTGAAGTGTCAAAACCTTTGCAGACACATGCAGATTCTGTACATAAAACTAAAAATGACTGTGTGTGTGTGTGTGTGTGTGTGTGTGTGTGTGTGTGTGCGTGTCTGTGGATTACTTTAATCAAAGCCGACAGACTGGGCACCAGCAGATCTGTGCGCTTTGTCATTTAAGGGGTGTGTGTTTGTGCATTTTTAGCTCCTCTGTCATTAAAGGAGATGAAGGGAGGAAGTTTATCCAAGGCACTCTTAGTGTACCCTGTAGGTGTGCGTGTCTTTAAGGATTGTGCTACGATTTGCTATATGGTTTCCTCATGTATAATGGATGCTGCTTAATGAGCTGATGTTTCATTTAAACGTCTTCATCCGCCCACTCCTTATCTTTAGATTAAAGAGCACGCGCTCAGCTCTTTTGCCCCGATCATTGTTTGCTCTTAACAATCTGACAAAGTCTGTGCTTTGTGTCTTCGAGTCTCGTGTGAAGGAGCCGAAGCCTCAAACACACAAAGACTGAAGTGACTGAGGTTCCTCCAACCTCACTGGTTGTCACATCGAGGAAGTTGTTGCTAGTTGCAGATACTTAAGATAGATTTATCTCAGGTTCTGGATGTACTCGTTACACTCGCTGAGAGTTTAAGTTAAAGCCCGTGGATTTATAAGGCAGTGAGAGTCTTATTCAGTATTTGTACAGACGGTTTTGCTAGATGACGAACTGCTAGTGCTGCTGGTTCTGAAGGTAAACTGAATGGCACTTTTCCCCCCATGCTTTCCTGCACCTACTCCATCCCACTACCCCCTGGGAGGTACAGCCTCAGTCTCACATTGTGAGCTAGTAAAAGACTCCTTTGTTGGTTAATGCTTATGTTTCTCTTTTATGAAAAAAAATGGACAGTACAGTGCACTGCTTCCCAGGGTGAGTGTTTTCTGCAGCGCTTGGACAGGTGCTGTTCTCATGCACAGGTTAGAAATGAAGCTGCTCTGACTTATTGTATGCACCTCAGTGCCAGGAGGGAAACTGTATGGTGTGTGTGTGTACGTGTGTGTGTGTGTGTGTTCTTTCTAAACATCTGTGAGGCAAAGTGTTAGCTGTGCTAAGCTACAGTACATCAGCGTGCAGACTCAGCTCAGTCGTTTTATTTTTATTTTGTTGTTGTTGATGGCAGCCCAGCATCTAATTAGTTAAAAACAGAATATTAATTGAAATCATCCAATCATGCATTTGAAATTTGAAATTTGAAGCTGTATTTGAAAAAACAAACAAACATGTAAACACGTAGAAATATAAATCAGCCAGAAGTCTTCGTCCACAGCAGCTTCCTCGTCCGCCTCTCTCCGTGGGAAGTCCCGAGCGATCCAAGGCAAAATGAGAGTAACACTGCTCTCATGTTAAAAACAGTCCCGGGCCTCTCATAAATCTGTAGCTCTGTCAGGTGCGTTGCATCGAGCGTGTAATTTACACACTCTGCTCCAAGTGGATACTTGTCTTTCGACCAAACCACCGTTCAACACAAGGACCTTTGCAGTGATGTTTTTTGTTTGTTTTTTTAATCTTTGAAACAAAATAGCTTTTATTTTCTGTTATGCAATAGTATATGCGTTGATAAACCTTTCTTGAACCAAAAAGTCGGCCAGACTGTGGCCCTGTTTCTCAGCTGGAAGCGATCCCCCAACTCCAGCACCGGACACAGTAACAACTCTGCTGCTGTGGGAATGCGTCAGTGTTAAACTGGCAGAGAGTTTATTTAGATATCCTCTTCTCTGTGGAGATTGTTTTGTTTTGTTTTTAAGTTAAGTAATCATGAGACAACAAACTGTGATCTAGGCAGTTCAATTTAAGGTTGGGCTTCTCCCTTATTTCCCAAGGGGTCGCCTCAGCAGATAGATCCAGATATTTGATTTGGCAGTTGCCTTTCCCGACAGAATCCATCCATTTATCCTGGCTTGGGTCGAGCACAAGGATTAGACAGGCTTGTAACCCTCTGAGGCTTGGTTTGTGTCTCCTCACAGCCTCAAACCGGGATCTTTTGTATGTAAGGCAACCGTGTTAGCGAGAGTCCAGCCAGTTAAGCTGAATTCAAAGGGTCGATGGAGCGTTTGACGCTAAATGCTGCACAGCAGCTCAGTTTTTGTTACTTTTTGTAAAGCCACAGGCAAAAAATGACAACATGCTTTAACTACTTACTTTAGATATTTGGTATTGAAACTTGAAAGTTGATTGCTCATTGTCTTTCTCACCCCTTCCTCCACCACAGCAAATGGTGATGAGCCTGCGGGTGTCGGAGCTCCAGGTGCTGCTGGGCTACGCCGGGCGCAACAAGCACGGACGCAAGCACGAGCTGCTGACCAAGGCGCTGCATCTGCTGAAAGCCGGCTGCAGCCCCGCCGTGCACATGAAGATCAAAGAGCTCTACCGAAGACGTTTCCCGGCCAAAATGGTCTCTCACTCAGAGCTGGCCTTGCCTGGGCCGCACCACCCGGCCACAGCTGGAGTGGTCGGGGGAGGGGGCGCGGCGCTGCCTGCTGGCCTGACGCAGCTGGCTTACGAGGGTCACGCCGGTCACGGTGGAGCCCCATCGCCTGCTGCGTTACTGCCGCTCTCGCTACTCGGTCCTGGGAAACACGAGCTGACCGGGCTGACGCACCACTTGCCCTCCTCAGCGACACTGCATCCGGTGCATCCAGATGTTAAGCTCCAGAGGCTGCCCTTCTACGACATGCTGGACGAACTCATCAAGCCCACGAGTCTAGGTGAGGACATGTGTACGTGTGGTTTTTGTGTGACACGTGAATGCAACATGAATCAAATAATACGTATTAATTTTATTTTTGTATCAGCTGACAATATGAAAGCAAACCTTTTAGAATCTACAGGAGCAGTTTATCTTTCTGGCCCTCCACTTTACTGTTTTGGCTCAAACATTCAGGCATCTGTTTTCAACAAACAAAGCCCTGTAAATCCACTGTACACAGGCGGCTCAGCTCTAAATAACAGGCAAACCAAACTGGTAACTAGCTGGGGAGATGGTAAAGCATTCAGCAGCCCAGTGAACCAGTTACTACTCTCAGTAGCTGGTAGAGACCACAGAAAGCTTATGGAAGATGAACATAGCCACTATTTACGTCATTAGTTTATGGGTTCATGAGTTCAGCATTTTGGCTGAAATCATCCTTTGTGGGTGGATCCAGCTGACAACTCAAATGTGGTATACAAATAAAGTTGTATTGTAAATCACGGTCAAAGCACGGCCATACAATAGTGAAAGTGAAGTGAGCTTGAATTAAGCTGCTGCTGAATTAAGACTTAAAAACCAGCGACTGACGATGAACTCATCAGGCTCCAGAGTTCATACATGGTGCACAGCATGATTTAGCAGTGTTAATTTCATTGATCGATAGTTTTTAATCATAGGTTTCATCGACAACTTTCTTTTTTGTGACAAAAACAAGATAACAACTAGATAAAACTAAGCACGAGGATAAAAACATACGATGAAATGTATTGATGCCTTTGTCAACAAAGACAAACAACGTCTCCTCTGGGGGGAAGTTGTTTGGAAAGGCAGGACCAGTTTAGAAATGATCCAATCACACTTGATGTCAAGGAAAATAAGACACTTTGTAAACCATGTGGAGCAAACAAAGAACACAGGTTTAATGCACTTCCTCACACTTTACCTTTTTAGACCTGGAGGCCACACCCATCTTTGATATACAGTCCATAATCGAGACCACAAGTAAAGCACCTATTTGCTGAGAGGTTTGCCATGGAGTCTTAAATGTTGATGATACTATATAGATGAAAACACTGACTGGTGACTAACACGAGACAAAAAAAGAAAAATAGATGCACACACATTTACTGGCCACCTGACCAGTACAGGGTTGGAGCTCCTTTTGCCTTCAGAACTGCCTCAATGCATAGAATTACTGCCATGTGATCGGCTGGTGGGATATTTGAGTTTACAAGCATTTAAACGGGCATACCCAATGATAAAATATGTGTTGAATGTGTGCGGCTGTATAAATGTCAGTCCAGTTCTCTTTATTATTATTATATTGTCATATAGGCCACTCTGTTGGAATTTGTGTCAGGTGGCTCGAGCGACGCTGCCACATTATGAATTGCGCTTCTATTCATTTTGTACATTTATATTTCTAACTGTGGCAGTAATGTGGATATAAACAATCAATATCAACACCGCAGCGATGTATGCCGGCCACACTGTGTTTGCTCAGCCGAGCCGTTGCTCTGTTGCACTGCTGTGAAAACCGTCCTGCACACGGCGCGCTTCACACCGTCACATCTCAGGCTTCCTAACAAAACTCAGCTTGTTTGCCATGTGGCGACACGCAGCTCTCGTGAGCGCTGAGGATCCTTAACGTGTAAGAAAGCTTCGAATCAAATCTTTTTGTTCTCAGTTTGCATAGCAGCTAATTCTGTGCACAGAGGAGATCACAGTGGTGGAATAAGTATGCAAGCTTGGAAATGAATCATTCTGAAGGATTATTTACAGATGTAGCGGACAGCAACATTCCTATTCGGCTTCATCGGGGCTGTGCTGGTGTGGCTTGATCACTTCTTTGTTGACACTGGCTGCGATAACAAACCTGCCAACTGTCAGAATTTGAATCAGATTTGGCTAAATTGTGGTGTGTGTTTGTGTGTCTGTGTGACATTATAAGATGGCTCTCTTAGATTAGTAAGTAAAGTACAAGTTCATTAGTCACTTATGTAAAATAATATTTATTTCAACTGTGACAGAAAACAAAACCGCTTTTTTAAGCCCTTCAGGTTCAAATATCCAGAATGTTCTCTTGAAGGTCCAACATTGATAATGCCCAGTGTTATGTGCCATGTCGTCCCTTTAATTCTCTACATACCCAACTTTTAATCTCGCCTTTATCTCGCTTAGATTTGTCGTTGCATTACATCTACATCCAGCACCCAGTCTGCACTTAGCATAATAAGACTCTTTGGGCTCTGGGATATATTGCAAATATATGGAAATGTCTAGATTTTCCTACATTAGCATTTTAATGGAGTAGAAGACCATCTCGTGATTAATTTGCCTGCAGATGCATGCACAAACAGCGAGCCTGCAGCTCTATCATCTCACTCTCCCTCTTCTTCCCTCTCGCTTCCTCACTCGATCCATTTCCTGCACACGCCTCATCCCTCTCCTCCCGCTCTGTGTCCCTCTCCGTCTTCTGTCGCCGCTGCCGTCCTCGGTCAAAATTTGCATGCAGAGTGATGAAATCGCACAGGCCTACACCTGTGCCACACACCCTCCCTCCATTCGACTCCGAATCGTACGTTCACATTGCTCTCGCGCACAGACTGCTTTCGAAAGAACACAAACATCTTTTCCAATAAATAATAAATGCTCAGTCCCTCATTGTTCTGGGGGAAACGGAGAGAGACAAAAGCCTGAGTGATAGGAGGAGAAACCCGGAGGAGGGTCTCTGGCATCGTTAGGTGAAGCTGAAGATTTGAATTTGCCTCCGAAAGTGAAACTAAGCTGCAGCTTTGAGGTGACGACCCTCTTTGTAATAATCGGAGGCAGAAAGGAAAGCAATTGATTCATTTTAATTGCCCTCTCACTGGAGGATCTCTGATTCTTGCTGGGAGAATTTCTTTAATTTTTTTTTCCCCCTCGTGCCTTGAGACAGCCTTTCCCTCCTCACTCACTGATCACACTCTTCCACATAATCTCCCTCCTCTCCGCTTGTGTACTCCTCTCTGATCTGCTGATTACTGCTCGCTCCCTCTCTCTTTCCTATTGTTGCTGCGTCTCCTCTCGCCTCGCCTCCCATTCCCTCTCATTTTTTTCCTCCCTTCCCCCACTTGTTTGCTTGCTTCTTCTGCTTTGCCAGATTAATTTTTTTTTTGGCCATTTATGTGCTCAACCAGGATTCTGACAGTTTTTGTTTTTTTGTTTTTGTTTTTTACAAGAGCACATGTGCAGACAGACTTAAGACAGTAGAGTGAAAGGCAGGATTTTTACTCATTTGCTATGTACTTGTTTCTAAAGTTCGAATGAGTCTATTGTCATAGTCAGGGTTGAGGTTTTTAGGAAGTTCAGACACAGTTTATATATATATATTTTTTTAACACGAGTGAAACCAAGATTAAATTGCACAAAATTGCAATAATGCACTAAAAAATACAGAAAATGATGAGCTAGTTCTTATGGGGAAACCAAACAGGCAAACAGAAGAGTAAACGGGGAAGGAAAAGCACAACAAATGTCTTAAAATAATACCAGAGATATGACCAATTGCTCATTTGAGTACCACCACAACCTCCTGTGTCCTAACTGATGTGCTGGAAGCACCACAAATCATGTCCATGTACAAAAATAACCGATAAAAATATTGTCACTATTATCAAAGTGCCTCGATAAATTTCCCCGATTATGTTTTTCTTCAAACTGCCTCCAGACTATGTGGCAGCTGTTTTTTTGTGTTAATATGCAGCAGACTGATTAAATAACTTGCAGATCTCGATTCTTTTTAAGCATTTCTTAAAAAAAAAAAATGAATTTAAAAAATTGATGCTGCTCTTTCTCTGTCTCCATCTGCGACTGCTCCAACAAAGTCACCTCTTCCACTAGAATTAATTAAACTTGTTGGCTTCCCTTCATTTTTTAGCAACTTTTGGACGCTTTAAGGCAGCAATTTATTTTTGACTTTCCATGGGATGTGTGCTATTTTCAAATTTAAGTCTTAAGTTTTAGCAGGCAGTGGGGGTTGTTTCGAATTCTTCTGGCTTTCTTTTGAAGTTTAAAACTGGATTTAAGGAATTACGCATTTGCAGCACTCATCTCATCCTATATGGAAGTATATAACACCATAAACGTCATGTTTCTGATGAAGCTTGATTTCAGAAACAGTTTATATGCGTAGCGAGATGGAGACGGTGCTGCCTTACGCTCCATAACTAAATCTCTCTTTGCAAAATCAGTCCAAATGCTAAAAACTCTGCTGCAGTCGAATATGTATCCCTAATAAGATTAAAATATGACATCCGTGGTTCACGCATACGGGAGAGAGACTGGTGAGGAATATGGCAGCCGATCAGCTGCATAACTACGTTCGGCTCTACAGTATCCGAGGAACTGCGGTGCGTGTCGACGTCTTCTCCGATTTCCGGCCTTAACCTGATTTCTTTCACTAACCGGGTTTCTCGTGCGCATGTAAATGTAGTTATTATCACGCTCTCGCCATTCTCTCCCCTCCTTCGGCCTCACTCCTTATCGTTTCACCCGGAGCCCCCACCCTCCCTCCTGTGCAGCTTTGTGCTCTCTGCTGACTCTTGTCAGCGTGGAGAATAAAGGTTGGTTGGCCCACAGTGTAGGCTTGAGAGCCTACTGGTCAACACTGAGGCTTGCACCAGCATCTCCCATCTTACCCCACTGGTTGTGCTCCATCATTGACCGTGCTGCGCAGAGAACTATACATCACAGCTCATTATGGATATCATAGCACATGCATTATACATGATTTAATTACCATATCTTCGGGAAAAAAAGGGATGCAAGCCTATTCCGCGTTTGATGAGGACTTTGTGCATAATGGTTTGTTACATGAGAAGATTGCTGTAGAGGAAAAGCATGTGGAAAAAAATATCTAATAAGATTTTTTTTTGTGTTTTTTTTCTTTTGGATGGCTTCCTTTAGAAATGAGTCAGCCCATGATTATATCTTTGCATACTGAATCCTGAAACCCCCTTTGGAAAACTTGTTTTA